TGGATCTGCTGATTGGCTGGAAATGAACCCATAGAGTTTGGAAACAGAAATTGTCTTCTTGGTCGAGACAGTTCCTGGATAGAGGGTCACAGGACTTGTTGGATAGGTTCCCATGCATGGCCACTGGTCTGGTTGATGTCAGTTGGTCCTCTTGAATGCAGAATCTAGAAGATATCTCAAAGAACAGTCTTAGGTTTTTATAATAGCTGTGTTATCTATAGAAGTGATTGGGGAGGTCACAAATCTAGCCCCTGTCAGGGGTATGTGACACTTAAGCAGTAAGCAAATACAGCCGTAGGCAAGTTGGGGAACAGTGGCTGGTTAACTTTTAGCTATGTCTGTACTTACATAGAAATCAGACTTTTTATCACAGTTCCTATCTTATGCTTTTACATTATTTTATTAATAATATAGGCAGTTTCACCTTTTGTCATTTCTCCTTCCCTCCCCTCATTTCCCATCTCCTCCCCTCCTGCCCTCTACCTTTTTGTTTTCTTTTCTTTTGTTTTCTTTTCTTTATCCCTTTCTCTCATGCTCCCTTTTTTTTTAAATACTTCATTGTTATTTCAAGTGACCATTGTATCCTTAATACAAAAATCCCTTCTTCTTTGAGATTTAGTCTTTTTGTTGTCACTGTAATTTAATGGCTTCTAGGCCAGTCTTCTTCATTTATTGAGAAACTGGCATCTCGTTCAGAGTTGTTCTCTGTTGAAATCCTCTTACTTCCCAGTCTTCAACTTCTTTGAATTTGGTAAATACGAACCCACTTCAGTTGCCACGGGCTAACCTGATCACTTGGAATACCCCACTTCTGAAAATCGTCCTGCATCTACACTTCACGTCCTTCCACTTTATCAGCCCTTTCCTGTCCAGTGGAGACCCTGATTGAGCTCTCGATCTCTTTTCTTACCCTTACACATTGTTGTTGTCTTAGGGCGTGTTTTTACTTGCTTTAAAGATCAGTAGTCATCACGGTTAGCTAGCACAGCTGGAGAAAGTCACATAGCCATGTAGTTGGTACCGCTACAGATTCGTCGTTTTCATTACCATTTGGGCCCTTTACATTTGACACTACTTGTTTGTCCTTGTATTTGAATTTGGTTAGTTTCTCTTGTTCCTCCCAATGGTTGTCCTAAAACTGTGCTGCACTTGTCATACAAACATTCCCCTCTCCAGTTGTATGATCTTGCCTTACATTGAGAATAATATATTTTCAGGCTAGCTGGTGGGAACCTAATGAAATACCTCCTGCTTATCAATTTTGCAAAATCTCACATCTTTCTATGGTCTTATTCTCTTACCTCTTATCTCAAAGGATGAGGTGTTCTGCTTTTGATGTTCTTATCCCTTCCTGAGGCCTCTGTGATTTTGCTGCATTACTTATGCCTTCTCTTCTTTATCCTCAGTCTCTTTTCTTTCAACTGGCTTCCATACCATGTATTTAAATATACTTAGATCTTCCTCATATTTAAAAAGAACCCAGATAAACAAATAAACACAAATTCTGTTATGAATGCATGACTCTACTGTAGCTGGCATTGTCCTTGAGTTTCTCACTTATCCCCTTTGACATTCCCTCACCTTCGGTTTATTCCTAAACCATGGCAATCTGGATTCTATTTACCAATCTTGTGAAACTTAAGTTGATAACTTCTGTATTGCTAAATCCACTGGGCACTCTTCAGTTTTTTTTAATTGACTCTATCAGGAAATTGAATGTTGTTTAGCATTCTTTTTGCCTTGACATTCTTGCTCATATGTTACCATGTGACTGCTCTCTCCAGATTCTCTCATCTTAGTGGCCTTTATCTAGCTCCTTGGATTTAGCTCGATGATGGTGTTCCTCAGGGTTCTCTCCTTGACCTTTGGTGTTTCTTACTCTTCAGATGGTTTTTATATAAAGGTAATTCTCTTCCCCTCTTCTACCTGCCCCAGAGGGCCAGTAATATCAAGTGCCACACAGGGAATAATTGTTCTGTCAAATGCCAATTTTGTCCCTGCTTCCTACATCACACCCGAGTTGAGAAACACTCCATTACCTTTCTGTGTGTTCTCTTAGTTTTTACAATTAAACATTAATTCTTCCTTAAACCGAGACTTATCTTTTGTGTCTTTTCATCTTATCTGAGAATTCCCAGGCCCTAGAACTTGGTGGAATAAATCTTAAAACTC